CTGTGGACAAAAAGGAATTGCAGACATCCTTAAACAAACAAATAAACAAGAAAAACAGAACACAGACAAGGTGCTGGAGCCCAAATCCTTTTTAAGATTTCCCCACATTGGTTTTGAATACAATCTCCTTTAGAATTCCCTCCTCAAATTCCAAACATAATTTTGTAAGCTATATGAGTTATTATTTTAAACCTCTTCTATCAATTTAGATCAACAAATAATGCATAAATAAAACACTGATTTAAAAACTTTAGAGCTGCAGGGAAGAGGAGGATGAGGAGGGATTAACTAAGACTAAGGATGTTTGAAAAAGTCATCTAAAGGGCCGGAGAGATGAATAGTTACGGGCGGTGGCTGCTCTTCCAGGGGTCTTGGGTTCAATTCCCAGCACCTACATGGCCATGGTAGCTCACACATGCCTTTAACTTCAGTTCCAGGGCTTCTGACAGCCTCACACAGACAAGACATGCAGGCAAAATGCCCATGAAAATTAAAAAAAAAAAAAGAAAAGCCATATGAAAACCTACTTGCCAACATACAATGAACATTTAAAAAGAATTGCCTAACATAGGGGATAATACTCCTCCCATTGACCACAAGTTCTCAAAAAGCCCAGAGCCAGGTGTAGGATACCTTGCCCTCACATTGTTGGTCAAGGATGTCACAGAGATGACACCAAAGTTGTCAGTTGTCATTGCTCAAGGCTATCCATCAAAATGTGACAGTAAGATCCTATAGCTGATGACACCACACATGTAGGTCAAAGGAACTGAAGAAATCACACACAGGCCACACACACACACACACACACACACACACACACACACGCGCGCGCGCGCGCGCACACGCGCACGGTCCTTGCTGGGAAGCTTCCACCCCTGCCAGCTACCTTTCATGATGCTAGAAGATGGTATGCAGGCTACAGTCTCACCCCACTGTGACTGCTCAGGGCTACATAACAAAATCCCTGGCAAGATGTACTCATGGGTGCCATAAGTAGCAGGAATGTTATGAGGATCATCAATCACTTTCTGGGTGGATTTAAGGCCTGCTCTACAAGAGGAAACCTCTGCCTGGTATTGTAAATATGGCCAAGAAACCATGGCAGAGGCTCGTAAGCCCTGGGGGGTGAACCATGACTATTATCTTGTTAAATGGATATACAGTATCAAATCATACCAGTTATAAACTCATAGATTAGCACAGCTCTCGGTGGTCATTGGGGGAGCATACAGTAGATGGTAGTTAATACAGACATTCCTAACTAGTCCAAGAACAGAGAACAAACTATCACTGGAGAGCTCAGCCACAGATGCTCCCATCTGTATCTACTTCCCTAGAGGCTCAGGGAACACTGGAAAGAAAAGAGGCGGAAAGAGTTTAAGAGCCAGGGGTCAGAAGGAATGGGGTCAAAACAATGTCTTGTGCACATGACATGGCTGTTTACTCATAAAGTGGCTCACAGCAGCTGTGGCTCAGCAGCTGTGGTGACCAGCAGATGAGCAAACCACTCAGATTCCAGAACGGATGGGGGAGGGCACAGACGCTCCCACCTGTAGCTGAGAAGATGCTGACAGTTGATGGCTGCTGGGGTGGGGGGAGAACTTTCTTTAGGGTGTGGTCCCTGGTGGGTGGACCCTGCTGCAGTGGTGGCCCCTCACCGGTGCCCCAATAGGCCTCGCTGTACTCAGGGGCTTATTAGAACAAATAAAGGACATCAAGTCGTGTGGACAGAAGAAGAGGAAGAGGGAAGAGTTAGATATACTGAAAGATATTTAGATATATAAATGTACCAATTAATAACAGTGTATTTAAAATTGTTAAGGTTGTAAGTTTCTCCAGTCCAAATTCTTTTGAGTGTTCTGAACATGGAAGAAAATTAACTTGCTCATTCCTATACCTTCAGTCCTGGTTTGTAATCTTGTGTCTCAGCATCTCTCATATGGATCATGCATCCATCCATCCACCCATGATGCATCTGTGCATCACCCATCCATGTATCCATGAACGCATGCATGTATCCATGTATCCATGTATCCATCCATCCAATGCCCACTGTAGGCAACACTCAGTCAGAAATCGGCTGATCAAAAAGGCCTCCTTACAATCTCACAGCCAAACTTCCTTTCCTTTTCAATCTCTTTACAACACAAGTTATCTTGTCACACTGCAGATGAAGAAAGAGACCCAGGGGCTTGCTCAAGGTTGGACAATGGGTAGTGGTGGCAGCCAGCCAGCCCGACAGCTCATGCCCTGCAATAGTCTGTCATCTGAATTCTACCAAACAAGCCATTCCAGGGCACATGCTCTGTCTGACCCAATCTCTCTTCCCAGGCTCAGCTCCACTATGCCCTCAACACAGTGTCTGTTATGTTACTATGCATGTGCTTTGATGCTATGTTCATATTTTGCTGCACCAAGAAAATCCTAACCAACAAGTACTGCCTCCTGGGGGCTGAGTACTGTGATTTCCTATGGAACCCCTTCCATCCTCCAGCACCCACTTTGCTGGCTTCCTGTATGCATTCAGCTCATGTTGGTTACCTGGTTTGGCTTTGAACTCCACTCACTAACCCATCTGAATATTAATTCATCAGAGTACCTGCTAAGCCACATTATGTTGGAAGCTGCAGGCATGAAGGAGCCACGGTCAGTGACTATGCCCCAAGAGCCCGAATTATAGGGAGGGAAACAGCCAGGACTGGAATTTTAGGAGAATGACTAGGGACAGGCATGGTGGCAGAGGCCACAGAGAAAGGAGAGTGTCCAGGACATCAGAGTGGGGGTGGGGTGGCGTCACAGTGGCAGCCAATGAATGAAGATAAACACTGCAGGAGCCAAAGCAGACAGGGGAGAGTGGTGGAGCCTGAATTAACACCCTGGTGACTCTGGAATTACTTCTTGGTGTTTCATTTACTCAATTTCAAAGGGACCTTTCTGCCTTTACTACCTTCTTCCACCAAAGAATTAGTTAAGGGACGCACCACTGTCTTAGACTCTGGAGTTGGCTTTTCTCACTAGAGCATATTTGTTTTATGATTTAATAGAGAACTGGGAAGACACCTTTTAAGAAAAAAAAACACACCTTATTGGTATCATTACCTCTCCATTTTGCTAAACAAGGCAAACTAGACACAGGGAGAACCTCAAAACTGAATACGAGGAACGAATGTGTCCTTGTGGGTTTTTTTTTTTTTGTCTTGTTCTAAAACATCTCAAATGTTAATTTTACCTTTCTGACATATAATGCTAAGGTATAGCTTTGAGAGTCAGATAATAGGGCAAAGAAATGCAGGTATTAATATGGATGGTTTCGAGGGAAAAAAATCAAAACTGTAACTCCACTGTATTCTCTAACGAGGAAAGTCTGCTTACCTTCCTTGTTTTAAAAAAAGGTTCAAGTATTCAGTCCCTACCTGCTACTATGTTACGGCTGTAGTCCTCAACCATCTCATCAGCAAAGCTTGACCCTCCCCAGAAAGATCAGAACCTCTAAGTTTCCAACTCAGGTCCAGGCAGAATACTTCATCAGTCAGGGTGGGGCCAGTGGCTGCCAGTGTTTTATGTCAGTCACAACAAAATTCAACCAGGGAGATAAAAAAGTAGAACTAAGAATCCCATCCTTAAATAACCAACTGTGGAGACTCCTGGCATGGCAGCCACAATCAACATCCCAAGATAAGAGAGAACCAAGGTTCTAAATTTAGAAAAATTCCATATGATAAGGGCTGTCTCCATGTGGAGATTGGAAGGCGGTGGGGAGGAGGTCTGGGGAGAAGTGTGGAGGCTGTGACGGGAGAGCCTGGCTTTTAACCTGGAGATCTGCACATTTAGTGCCTCATTTATTCAGTGTGTTTTCTGTGTCACCTTTTAGAGAAGTACTCATTACAAATGGCAAGAGTTTAATTTCCTTGTCCCCACTAAAATAGGCAAATAACAGAGGAAAAAACAACTTCTTTTAATACAGTTTTAAGATCCCAAAGTACACTCCAAAGGAGTTGAGCTGCTTGAAAGCTGCCCACACATGAACCAACCCCTTGTCAGGGCTACAGACTTCCACACAGAATGGCTGAGAGGCCACTTCATAAGTCCTGAAGGGCCTCTCCTCACAGACATACTCTGACTGGTTTCCAAAGGGAAAGGCCCTCACATCCCCAGAGACAAGCTTTCCAAGAGCCCTCCACACAGGTTCTGAAGGGAAGCCCTTAGATGGACTGCCAAACCCTGTAGAGTCACTGGCTCCCAACTTTCCAGGGATGCCAGAAAGGAGAGGGGCCTCCACAGGGTGGGAAGCAGTACAGAGAGGATCAGGTCAGAGCTGCCTAGCTCCATGGTCTCTAGTTTCCTGGTGAGACAGAAAACCAGAAACCTTCATGGTCTCTAGTTTCCTGTTGAGACAGAAAACCAGAAGCCTTCAAAGAAACCACAGAGGAGCTGCATGCTCTTTCTAGATACAGAACATGGCCTTCCAGTGTTGATAGGACACTGGCAATCAGGTGACCAAACTAAAACATACCATCTGACAAGAATAAAACATCAACGAGCAGAATGCCATCTTTCTAACAAGGGATCTGCTTACCCAGCTTTACCAAGATGATAACTAAATTAGAACTGGGGTTATGCCTTCCTGGGGACAAAGTTTGACGTTCAGTCTTCCTTAGGGACATGTTCTCTGGAGTTTTCAGGCCACTGGTTCTGGCCTCCTACACTTGGTATGAACACCAGCCTCCACTTTGTGTGTTATTCTTTCCTGTGGTAACACGGGCATTCTCATGGTGTTCCATATTCACCTTCTTACTACAGAGTTAAGAAAAATTCCCAATACTTGCACAATCACATAGTGTATCCTTCTTCATATGTAGTCTTCAAGAACACCTTAGCAGTTTTCTTCAACCCATTTTCATATATCTAGCTATTCTCTATTCTCTTTGTCTTCACTGACATGTGGTAAATTATACACACACCCTTTCTGTGGACTCTAGCTCCATAAATTAGAAAGC